ACAGCGCAGACGTCCCTTTCTCGTTGCATGCGCAACAGGGGGGCCCGCCGCCGTCTCGCGGGATGAGGGTAGGTGGAGGGGGTTGGGTGTAGTCCGATACACGCTCGCTCATCCGAAAAGGAGGAGAAACAGCCGAGAAATCACCAACTCAATCATGGGGGGTAAGTATGACACGCCGAAGTCTTGCTAAAAAAAAAATGGTCGTCTTGCTTCACTGGACTTTGTCAGCCGCTGCTGTGTGCCCTGCATCGACGGTTTATCGGTCTGCTGCGTTTGTCACACCTGCTTTCCTCCATCCCTTTTGCCTCATCACGCTCGCATGAGTGCGTGAGTTGCATGACTGACTCACACAGGTTGGTGGCTCCGTAGTGGCGCCGTCGTCAGCGGAGCAGTCGCCGCCGAGCAAGGTTGCGGCCAGGTAGGTATCCATCGATTCATCAACACATGAAAGGGAGAGAGGGACCCATTCACACACCCGATCTGGTCTGAGGTGCGTGTGGTTGGCTTACTTCAGGCACGCCCAGTGGTGATGTGTATGTGCGTGCCTGGGAAGGAGGAGGTCCAGCTTGGCCTTGCCCCCCTGCCCAGCCAGGATCACAACGTCTGTCTCATGAGTTCGTCACAAATCACTGGGGGTTCCAGCGCCGACATCCACATCCACACACCCACACACACAAGGGTGCATCCATGCGGCTGTGTTGCTGTGTGTCTGTCTGTGTGCAGCCTCCTGCTGTAATTTAGGGCAACGGAATCTGTGTGGGATAGCGAGTCGACTGTTTCAGAGGAACGTAACAGTGACAAGACAGCCGGCATGTGCACTGCGTGATTCGTTGGGGACACCTGATATGTTTCATCATTGAAGTCTCAAAAGCTGTTCCGTCCGTCTCCCTTACGCTTCTCTGCCAGACACATGCATTCTCTCATATCGTCAGCCGCACCGGCAGGCAACACACCACGCCCCCACTTAGGCAGCTCCCCTTTCAGACACACACCCTCCCTCAGGTCATGAGCCAAAAGCCCCAAAGCAACTCGCACATCCCTTTCCACTGGCTGCCATGCCTCGAGAGCAAGTGGCGCGTCATCCCCAACTGCCTCAGACTCGTCAGGCCGCAACTCCCCTTCCACCAACCCCACCTTCAGCACGGCATCCCCGATCGCCGTGTGGACACGGACGCAGCTGCCGTACATGTGTGTGAGGACGTCTGTCATCAGCTGCATGTCGGATGGAAGGGTCTTCCACAGCAGCAGCTTGTCTTCGAGAGATCGTTGGTCCTGAGACGACCCCCCAAGAGCCCCCACAGCCGCGATCGCATCTCCAAGACCGTTGCCAATCAGGTGGCGCCTCGTGTGGTACGACTGAGGCAGCTCAATCGGCGCACTCTGCTCGTCCCTCTCGCCGCCTCGTGATAGCTCCAACAGCCTCTCTGATGCCCAGCAAACTACCCACAAACAATTGTGCAGCAGCCCGGCCGCCGTCTGCTTTGACGCTGCGATGTTGTCGCCGCGCCCCGTTTCCTTGTTCATCTCAGCTCTCGCGTTGGTGTGAACCGCCAAGACCCGCAGCCATGAGAGGCCGATGGACGTGATCATTTGCAGCATGTCGCACAGCAACCGCACCCCCTCCTCGCTCTCCAGCTGCCCATAGCCGCTCTCGCCAGCCTGGCCACACGGACCGAGAAGCCGCCTCCTGGCCTTGTCTGAGGCATCGACGCTCTTGCCGGCCGACTCGCCGACCGGCAGAAGAGCTGACTGCAAGAGTGCGTGGCAGAGGCTGGTGAGATGCCGAAGCCCGGTGGCCGCCTGGAATGTCCGCTGAGCCCTCTCAGCCGTGCTGGCGGTGTCTTCTGCCTGGCTGCTGATCCATTGCAGCCCGCCATAGTCCTTGATGAACAGATGCGCCACCCGCACAGCTCCCGGCTCGGCACTGCCGTCGAGGAGGGCTTCTTGCTTGACGGTGACGGTTGCCTTGAGGCACTGAATGCCCTCCAGCCAGAGAGGGAAGTCGATGCATGGCGAGAGAGTGAGGAGGGACATGATGGATGGAAGCACGTGGCGCCGGTGCAGGAGCTGCAGGCCGTGGCCGCCGGATGTGACATCGGCCACAGAGGGAGCCTCTGGCACAGCACCATCTTCGTCACCATGTTGCTCGTCAGTGTCCGTGGCATCGGCAGCCGGCTCGTCGATGCCGGCGCGATCACTGCAGCCCTCTTGGATCGACGGCCATGAAAGTTGCGTGGAGCCCCTGCGGATCACCTGACGCACACAACACAACACACATACATGCATGAGAAACGCATGGCGGTCGAGGCCCTACTCTCCTTCCCTCCCCCCTCCTCTCTCGCTCACCTTGGCTATCCACATCTTCTCCGCCCTGGATGTCTCCAGGCTTTCTGAGTACAGCAGGCCATAGAACAGAGGCACATCGGTGAGGTCCATGTGGCTGCGCGACAGCATGAAGTTGTTGATGACAGGGAAGAGGTGGTGCTCGGGGTGGAGCAGCACAGGCACGGCAGCAGCGCAGAATGACACCACGATGCCCCCAAGCACCGGCGGGTGGCCGGGGGCACCACCACCACGGCCGTCCTGGTTGGCTGGTGGTGGGATGGCGTTGCGAAGTGCGGTGAGGAACCATCGGATGGAGGGCAGCTCCTTGAAGGCGTATCTGAGTGCGGGCGGCTTGAGCTGCTCCCCCTCTCGCACCTTCTTGGGCTGCTGTGCGTGCCGCGCCTCGGCCGCATCGGCGCTCTTGTCGAGCAGCTCAGAGTACACCGCCAGACCCTCATACGCACAGATGCGGATAGATGCATCCTGTGAAGGCAAGGCAGCAGACAAACACGGAGCGGAGCCATGTGATGTGCGTTGGCTCGCTCAGCTCAGACGCGTCGTTCACTATGGAAACCTACCATGCATCCAGCAGCCATGAGCAGCATTTGGAGGGCCCCTCCCGCGGCCACCCGCCGCAGCCATGCACCACCCTCGTCAAGGGCGGCGAAGAACGGTGCACTGCCCTCGCCTCCTGCCTTCTTTGACCGCTGCTGCAGGTGAGCATAGGCTGCTCTCAGCCGCCCGGCCAGGTAGGGGATGACGTACGCAACGTCGTAGGTGTCTGAATCGGATCCTTTGTTGCTTCCTGGCTGGCGGAATTGCCGGAAGGTGGACGCGGTGGTTGGAGGCTCCCTCAGCTGTCTGCCGAATGGGAAGTCGTCGAGGGTTCGGCGTAGGCGACCAGCGTCGAGCTGCAGCCAGTCGCACCAGACGGGCTCATCCTCTGCCCCCTCCGCCTCACGGTCGCGCCAGTCCAGCAGCTGGCCGCACCAAGACAGGGGCCCTGACGTGTCCACATGGGCCATGAGCAGCCTGCGGATTGTGCGGTCACGCGGCGACGTGGAGGCGGTGTACGCGGACGCGCACTCGCGGAACAGCCCCGGGCAGAGGTCGGCGATGCTGCTGCCCGTCGGAAGACACAGCACCGCAGGAAGCAAAACCTCCACCATCTCCGCTAGTGGAGGGGCGCCGCCGGCCCGCCGGACAAGCGTCCGCACGCTGCTCGAGCTCAACAGGCTGGTGGCCTTGACTTCCGCTCGCTCGAGAAGCCCCATACCGCTGGTATGATTGTAAAGGCCGTGAAGCATCAGGAGGGCCGAAAAGACCCTCAGTTCGATGGGCAGCGCCGCCTTGCCGTCTTGGCGCTCGTCTTGAATCCTTCTCAGCCGATGGTTGGCCAGCTCCCAGCACGATGATGCACAAGCGGTCAGCACGCTTGTGAGCGTCTCGCTGTCTGGTGCATCATCTTCAGCGCCAGTACAGTGGTCAGGGAAACGTGCAACTGTCGAGAGAATCAGCTGCAGCCACCTGATGCAAGCAGGCACAAGCAAGGTCAGTATCGAGCGTCCGCTGTCTGGGTTGTACTGTCCGTGTGACTGACCTGTTGATTTTGTCCAGTTTGTGGGCGTCATCGGCCTCTGCCGACGAAGTGTCCCGTAACCTCAATGCAAGCTCGTGCACCCGGGTACGAATCGTCTTTGCAGTAGGCTCGCCAGTGGCAAGCCTCCCCACCCGCTCCTCTGTGATGGTGTCGACCAGACATCTCGTGAGCTCCGTTGGCTCCTGCTGGTCCTCAGCAATCGTCCGGAGGGCGCGCAGGATCTTGCTCTCTGGTGAGCCAGGAGTGTCGAGATAGGCCAGGAGGGGCACCACCACACGAGACACAAATGGGACCGCCCTCACGTTCCCATGCCTGGTGAGAATGTCGAGGATCTGTCGTGCGACTCTCTTGGCTCCCTTTGGCGCCATCCAGCCGAAGGCCGTGGGAAAACGGTGCCGGCAGGGGATGGTGAGCAGGGCGATCGCCAGGCGGGTGCCGCTTTGCATGTGCTTGAGCTCTGGCGTATCGCGCGTCCCCTCGACTCTTGCAGCAGCCCCCTCTCGAAACTCATGGCTTCGGGCCATCATGTCCACCAAGACACCGAAGAGACCGGGCTCGACTGTCAGCTCCTCTGGCTGGCCGATCAGGTTGTCCACTGACTTGGGCCGGAACATGAGAGCTTCCACGTGCCACGGACTCTCAATGCCGCCGCCTCCCAGGTTGGTGGCTGCTTGGGGGGCGCGCCTGACGAGGTCACGGATGACGGGGCCGACCATATATGGACGGACGAGCTCCTGAAGCATCACCTTCACAGGATGGTTGAGGGCCAGGACGAGTTCGTCGGAGAGGGGTGTGTGGTTGATCCAGTAGTCCAAGATGTACACCCTGACCGCCTCGCGATGCCGACCCACCCACTCCCACATGACGGTATCACAGTCCGGATGGTGGGCCAGCAAGCAACTCTCGTCCAGCAAACCGGCTGCAGCCACACATGCTGCCCACTTGGTCGCCAGCCATGGAGCAGCGGGGCCGCAGTCCTTCAGCAGATCGCACAAGGGCTGCCCCAACATACACTCTCCCTGGGCAGACGGCGCGTCGCTTCCAGCCTTCCTCAGGGTGATAAGGCCGCACACGACCTCCATCAGCCACACTCGCCCCCTCTCGTCGGCCGTGCAACACAATGCTGCCGCCGCCTCAACGCTCATGTTGACAACGTCTTCATCGACATCCTTAGTCACCTGGTTGGACGAACTCTTTGTTGTGGGGGCAGCGGCTTCACACAGCTCTTTCCACATAGACATTGACAAGAGCCGGTCGACACAAGCCACCACGAGCGGAACGTCCTTCTCCCTATGGAAGCTGTCAAACGAGCTGGCAGCCGCCGAGAGGGCATGGCTGGTCCCCTGCAAGGCCTCTGACAGTGCCTCGTCCATCGGCCGACGCGGAATGGTCGTCAACGCCTCCACCTTTTTCTCGAGGATGGCGAGCAGATCAACCATCGGGCGGTCGAGGGGCAGCGAAGCGGCAAGGTGTGACAGACTCGCGCTGACGTTTCCAGCCTTCGCCTTCTTGCGCTTCTTGACCCGGACAGCGTCTTGCAGCATCTCCTCCAACACCGCCGACGAGCCATTCGCATCACCGCCCGCAGACAGAACATCAAGCAGAGCTGCCCGCAGCTGTTCCAGCGGGCCCTGGTTCTCGTCGTCCATGTCGGCGTCGTGGTCCTGGTGCTCAGTGAATTGACGCTTGACCTCGGCCACGTCCCGCCACTTGCCCCACTGCCGGATGCATCGCGCGAGTGAGGGAACCAGTGACGGCCTCAGGTCCACAAGGTGAAGGATCACTCGACACACCGACCGGGCCACGTCAGCTATGTCACTGCCTGAAACACCCAACCACAGGAGAGGAGAGCGGACAGGCTGCCGCCACACATATCTATGTTGACGACGTACCTTCTGCACCAGCAGGGGCGGTCCACTGCTTTGCAATGAAGGAAGCAGATAGCTGCCGCAAGTAGCCGACCGTGAAAATGGATGGCATGGCTTCTCTCATGTCGCCCTCTCCGTCCGTCATCTGTACGTCGTTGTCTTTCATGACGGGCACAAATGTGCTGGGATTGGAGGTCACGAGGCGCAGGACGGCGAGGAAGTACGCGGGGGTGCGGGAATGCGTTGGACGGCTGAGCTCGAGCAGCCATGCATACGCTTCATCGAAAAGCGACGACTCAAACACCTCTGTGGAGTCAAGAAGACTGCAACACGCCATGCGCACAATGGGGGAGTGTTTCCGTGTGTGTCGTGTTGGCACCTTTTGAGCATTGGTCCGGCGAAGGTCTGCAGTTCGGCTAACGCAGCGTCCCCACTTCGCCACCGGTCCAGAAGGCCGGTCATGAGGCTCACGTGAGCCTTGGTCAGCTTCTGGCTGGCAGCCAGCCGCGTGCTGCCTCCCAGCGCCACTTCAACCAGCGTCATGGCCGACATGGACACTCTCGTCTGCTCCTCAATCGACAACTCGACATGCCAACTCTCTGTTTCTGCACTCAGGAAAAGAGAGGGGTCGGGGATGCAGCGCATGTGCGACTTGCATTTCCTTCTTACCCGTGAGCACTTTGGACCAGTCGAAGCGGCACTCCAGCAACGTGGTCGGAAGGCTGGTGCAGTAACACCGTGCTGTATCGCTCCACCTGCAGGCACACGACCACCAAACACACAAACTGATGGATCCAAAAGGGAAGGCGGCCGCTCTTCTCACCGGCAGAAGAACTCAGCAGCTGAGATGACGACTGACAAGTCTTGAGGGCTCGGGGGCGCGCCATGGCCACTCGTGTGCTCCACAAAGTACTGCCATGCCCTCGCAATCGCCTCAGTCTTGTCCCTGTCCTCGTCCCTCTTCGTCGCCGTCTTGCCGCTTCCCTCCATGAGATCGGTCCCAGCCACGTGGATCATCAGCTCGTCATCCTCATCATGTTCCATTGCCGCGTCCCTTTTCCCCTCTTTGCCACTCTCCTTTGCCATCCCGTCCAGCTGTGTCGCCCCACTGCGCACATTCAACAGCGTGTTGATCTCGGGCAGTCGACACTTGACCTCAAACTGCAGCCGACGTATCCTCTCCACTCGTGCCCCTTTTGTGTGGTCATCGTTGCCGCGGGGCTGGTCCTTCTCTACTGCCTCGCACACAGCCGCCAGTCTCCGGCAGACGAGCATCAAGAGGTGGCAGGTGGTCATCACAACCGCCCGGTCGGTCGCCAGCAGGCCGTGCGTCAGTGTGGTCTTGCTCAAGACGGGAGGGCAGACAATGTCCAGCAACGATGACAACACCTCTTGTGAGGCCTCTGCGGATGGCCGATCGATAGCATCGAAGACGCCAGCGAGGGGATTGTGCTCGGGGGATGTGGTGAAGGGATCAGCTGCCTCCTCTGCGTCGTCGAAGAGATTGGGCCCGTCATCAACAAATGGCGTTACACGAAGCTCCTGTGTCAGCTTCAACAGGTCGTCCTGTTCCGGCTCTGCGGCTTCATGCTCTTGGGGGGCCTGAGGGGTCGCCACTCCAGTGGCAGTGGGAGAGAAGGGGATGCGGGGACCCGCTTGCAGAACTCTGGAAAGGAACGTGGCCCCCGTGATCCACTGGGCAGCCGACCGCGAGCTGAGAGTGAGCTGAAGCGACGCGAAGAAGGCTGGATAGAGATCTGGATGCGACTCGAGGAGGGCCGTCGCTACATCTTGCTGCTGGGGGGCATAAGGCTTGAGCTTGAGGACGAAGTCGAGCAGGAAGTCATGTTCCCTCGAGCTGTAGATGCGGCTTTTGGAACACAACTCGACAAGGAAGTCCCGCACATCATCGGCAAGGGCATCCTCGTGGTCGTTGAGGCACGCTTGGAGCAGGTAGGCGAGATGGTGCAGCACATAAGCATTGAAGAAGAAAACCTTGGTCAGCCTGGGCAGGTGCGCGTTCAACAGCACCCGCCGCCTCACCACTTGCAGCACCCAGTGAACAGTCTCGATGGGGTCTTGCGCCAGGCCCTGGAAGATCCTATTGATGAAGTTCTTGACCTTGAGGGCTGCCGAAACCACCTGCTGGTCGGAACACTCAAGCAGCGCCATTGCGAAGCGGATGTATTGCTGCCTCGTCCGCGGGCTGCCGCCCTGCCGTGACGCCTCGGACAACTTCTGGAAGGGCGCATAGCCGAAATTGAAGTCCCGCACGACCTGCGCTGCGAGGGATGGGTGCAGTGTGACGATGGCCGTGAGCAGCCTCAGTGAGTGGAAGTGAAGGCCCTCTCGAAACGTCCCAATACATCGATAAACGGTTTTGAGATGCTTGTTCAGCACGGCAGTAGCAAGGCTTCGCCGCGAGTGGAGCGTCCGCACCGATTGCTCGAAGGGAGTCTCGAGTATACTCGCCAGCAGCTGCAAAAGGCCCACATTCACTTCATCGTTTTGGCGGTCCAGCACAGCCAGCAGCTCCGAACACAGAGGTGACCTCTCCACGTAATGATGGACACTAGCAACGCCCGACGAGAAGCCGCCTTCATCATCACCACCCTGTTGTCTTGATTCGAGGCGTCTGTTGAGGTCGACAATGGCCCTCTTGACATCAGAGATCTCATTGGAATTCAGGGCGGCAATGAATGCTTCTGTCGCCAACTCAAGATCTCCCTCATTCGGCATCAGTTCAGCAGCAGGAGAAGAAGATGGAATTCGACACTTTCATGCGAGCTCAGATTGGGAGGTACAATTGGCGAGGTAAGCTTGCTGATGACAGGTTTGTGATGGCTTGACGATGCCTTCCCGCAGTAATGAGCTCATCTTCGCATCATTTTACTCGGCCAAAGGCCTTTTGCCAGTCAGCCCCACCGCAGAGATAAGAGTAGGCGAGTGAAGGAGGCGGACCATGATCTCTGGTTCGCCCATATAGGCAGCTGAGCTTCGATGTGGAAGACCGTGACAACAAGCTGTTTGTGCTGCCATGGCTTGTTTGACATTGCAAGGCTGCGGCGTGATGCCAATGGGGCGCAAGACGCTCAAGCAGGGCCGCTACCTCCTGCGGGGCCTGATCAGGAAAGGATCTTCGTGTGTTGCGCAAGACACCGAGGAAAATGTCGCCGTCGCTGTGAAGATGTGCTGCAGCCCCAAAGAAGGAGAGCTCCATTCACTTTTTGTGCACCCAAACATCCTCAGAGTGAGGGAGGTAAGCGAAGGAAAGGATGGCCATAGCTTGAGATGGGTTGTCTAGCTTGAGATGGGTTGTCTGACTTCTCACCTTTCAGCATTTCGTGGCAGAGGGCCTTGTGTGCCTTGTGACCGATTTGTGGGACTGCGGGACGCTTGAGGACTTGATTGATAGCTTTCTGTGGAGGACAATACCCATCGAATTGAAGGAGGCAATCGTTCGCCCCTGGTGGGTGTGGAATGTATGCAGATGCCTGCATTGCCCGCAAACACGGACACACATCAATTACACGCAGGATGGTTGCACTGCTGAAAGCGTTGAAGTGTATGCACGACCAGGGTGTACTTCATCGGTAAACCATGGCAGAGAAGGAACAATCAGAAACAACCTCGTCATCAAGGTGTCTCTTCAGGGATGTGAAGCCGTCTAATGTTCTCCTCAGCAGAGCAAAGGGGATACAGCTCGGCGAGCTCGGATGTGCAACGACTTTTGATGTGAGTGAGGGCTGCACTTGTTTTCAGTGTACCTTTACAGCGGTCTGGTCTTTTTCTTTGCAGCGCTACGCCGAGAAGACTCGCTTGGAGCCATGCTGGGGTTCTGTAATCTACGAATCAGCTGAGGTGAGAAGCCACCCGCTGTTTTCATGTCTTCACCGCTCCTCGCCTCTTCAGGCCATTGAAGGAAGGACGGTGGCTTACCCGACGCTTGTGGACATATGGAGTGTTGGGTGAGTAGCCTGATTTTGTCCCATAACCGATCTACCAGGCTCATGCTCATTGTGCATTCCAGGATAATGGTGTCTTCCTTGCTGTTCAATGAGTACCCTTTCGAGCAGCACAATGCCCTGTGTCGTCGTTTCCTGGCAGAGCCCACATCGTCTCTTGAGCCATGCGTATCATTATCCGTCCCATTCGGCGATATTCGTGTACGTAAGAGCATGATGGGTGATGAATGGTAGATGTGCTGGCTTGTAGAGCAAGCATGACGGAGTGTTGTGTGCAGGCGACGGAGGGTTGTTCGAATGGCCTGACGGACTTGCTCACACAGCTGCTGGCCCCTGATGTTGAGAACCGGCTGTGCACCGCTGACGAAGTTCTGGCGCATCATTGGTTATCAACATGATAAATTGTTTTGCATGGACATGTTGTCCTTTTCTTCGCACAGGTTTCACGCTGGTAGCAATTTGGTGATTGAGACACAGGAGAATGAGACCATCGCCGAGCTGTCATCTTCGATCAAGGCGCTGACAGCCGAAAACAATGCGCTCTCACGAGGTGTCGAGCGTCTCGAGGCCACAATCATGCAGCTCGAGAGCAAAAAGGTAAGTCTGACTCACGCTCACCCTCATCAACTTTCCTTTTCTCCACGACGAGCCCTCTGCTCAATGCATGTAGGATGAGCTACAGCGCGATGCAGAGAGAGTGGAACAGGAAAAGGTACGCGCAGCCATGCAAGTCCATTTGTCTTTTCCTCATCAACTGCTTTTGGGTTCTGCGTGCATCATGCGTCCACAGATGAAGGCACTGGCAGATGTTCAGCACTTGCAGCGGTCAACGGCCACTCAGGTCGAGGCTTGTGAAGTGCTCTCGCGGGCATTGGAGGCTGGCAAAAAGGAGAAAAGGGCTCTCGAGATGGAGACAGAGGCCATGCGGGAGATGATCGCGAATGATAAGAGACACTTTGAGGAGTGCTCAATCTCCCACAAAGAGGAGCTACAAGCGCAAAGTGACAGCCATCGAGAGCTCGAGAAGCGCTGCGGATCGATGGAGGAGCAGAAAGTGAGCTTGTGCGAACGAAAACATGATCCTTCCCGTTATCGATTGTTCGATTCAGGATCAGCTGAATAAAACGATTGAGATGACAAACAAGCAAAACAACGAGCTGACAGAGAGGCTGGAGGCGATGAGAAGAGAAAATGTACGTAAGCAATGTGCTGTTCTCAGCTGATGTTCTTCCTCACTGTCCATCATATTTGTCTGCTTCAAGGTCAGCTCTTGGAGGAAATGAAGGCTATTAGGAGGAGGAACGAGGAGTTGGAAGAGAATTCTGAGACAATCAAGAAAGAAAATGTAAGCCGTGCGTCTCAGCTTCGAACGATAGCTACTCCATGTCCGTGCCACATGTATGTCGCACTTGTATTGTTGGACAGGCGAAACTGATGGTGACAATCGAACAAAGAGACGTCAGTAACAGAATCACCTGCGTGTCTATCAAAAGGGTCTGACCTGCATGCCGTGTATTTTTTCAGGCTCAAGCGACGGACGAGCAAAGGACCAGGGATGGGCTCAAGAATGAGATAGCCAAGATGCAAGCTGCTGTCCAGCGAGAAAAGGGTCAACTGGTGGAGCGATGCGGCTATCTGGTACGTCGCTTTTCAATGGAGACAGCATACCGACACAGTTGGCTGTTGTCGAGAACAGGAGAAAGAGGTCAAGACGCAGAAGGATACGGTCAAAACAAAGGATGTCGCGCTGCGGAAGGAGGAGCGTGCGAGGGAAGCAATGGAGACGACCATAAACGAGCAAACGAGGGCACTAGAGGAGCTGCAAATGGAGAGGAAGACGTGGCTGACGCAAAAGGTGAGACTCAAAGTGGAAGGAGAGAAAGCCATGAACTTCATCTGACTGGTCCGACTCATGACTTCCTTGTCTCACAGGAAGAGTTTGAATCTACCGTGAAGGAACTAAACGAGCGCCTGGACTGCCAGCTGGTAGAGAAAAATGCTCTGCGAGAGCAAATGGACGTGTTGGAGAGCCAGAAAAAAGACGCATCGGATCACATCCAGGAGCTGAAGGTAAACCATGAGAGATAAACCGATTGTGAATAGCTGGATTGTTGATTCAGGAGAGTTTGGCAGACGTCCGAAAGCAGCTAATGGAGGAGACAGCTTATCAACTTGCGAAGGAGGATGAGAATCGTAAACTGGAGGAGGCCCTGACTGATCGAGACAGAGAGATCGAGTCTCTCAAGGTGAAAGCAAGCGCCCGTGCAGCAGCTTGCCAGAGGCAGACAATGTCTTGTGCGATTCTCAGGCGAAGATTGAGGAGCCAGAAGCTGGGAACAGTCACCTCTTAGAGCAGCTCCGCATGGCCGATGAGCACCAGGTAATATGTCGTTTCGACTGCTCATCGCACGTCTGTGGGTGTCTGTGTGTCTATTGCAGAGGTCTCCAAAAAGATCGTCTGTAGTCATGAGAATGTCTGGCCATGGAGCGCGGCGTGATCCAGCCGCCTCCTTGGATACATCTGAAGGCCCGCTAGATGACAGTGTTTCATAACAGAATCGCTACATGCATCTTACACGTCCTCCATGATTCGACATGAATGCAAATGCCGAATAGAAAATTGGATTGATAGGACAATGATAGGATGAGGAGGGGGGGGGGGGGGGG